GAAAGAAAGAGAAGGAGAGACAGTAGGGAAGGAAGAGTGGAGGAGAGGTAAGGGAAGAAGAAAGAGATAAGGAAAGAAAGAGAAGGAGAGACAGTAGGGAAGGAAGAGTGGAGGAGAGGTAAGGGAAGAAGAAAGAGATAAGGAAAGAAAGAGAAGGAGAGACAGTAGGGAAGGAAGAGTGGAGGAGAGGTAAGGGAAGAAGAAAGAGATAAGGAAAGAAAGAGAAGGAGAGACAGTAGGGAAGGAAGAGTGGAGGAGAGGTAAGGGAAGGGAAGAAGAAAGAGATAAAGAAAGGTGGGTGGAAGGGAGAGTAAGAGAAGGAGAGGAGGGAGGAAGGGAGAAAAAAGAGAAGGACGGAGAGTAGGAGGAGGAAGAGAGAGGGTAAGAGTAGGAGAGAGATAAGGGAAGAAAGAAGGGGAAGGAGAGGAGGTAGGAAGGAAGTAGAGAAGGAAGGGAGAGAGAAAAGAAGAAAAATAAAATAAGGTGGTGTCATAATAGAGGCTTGGGATGGTAATCAATACAATCGAAACTGTACTCTATAATTTCTTAAATGGAATAACAATAGTATAAGATGGGCAAAGAAAAAGAATAACCATGTTTACCTGGAATTGTATGTATGTATATATAGAGATAAATAATAATTAGAGATAAATAATATTTGGTTATATGGCTAATTATAGAAAGGGCAAATACTAACTGCAAAGAAACCGATATGGAACTGTCCTATGATTTTTGATGGAACTTTTGGTTCCTATGTTGTCCTAAGTCATGTGTTTGTTGTTGATGTGTTTATTTGTGTAAAATAAAAACTTAAAAAAATACCATCTCATCCTCTTCCCCTTCTCCTTATTCTGCAGGAGCTTTCTCCATTTAAAATGTGTCATACTTTTAACCAGACTTGGTCTGTTAAGTAGGCAATAATCACTTTTTTCCCTGCCAGAAAACTCTTTTTTAGCTGAAAATATGGTCTGATTGCTTGGTGTTGTTAAACATTTCCACAGACAGCCTTTCTGGAGGTTGGATGAGATAGAACAACATATTTGATGTAATGGAAGTAGTTTGTTTTATTTCTAATTGCATAGAATTGTAGAGGAAATGAGGAGGAATTACAGCTACAATCAGCCACCTTTAAGGAACATCCACTCATATACGGAAGATTTATCCAGTCACTGATTGATATAATAAGCCAATTATTGTATATTGATTTTGAGTACTGATTGTCTTCAAGTCCCCTTATTTTTATAAAGATGAATGCAGTAAAGTTAAATTTTCTCGTAAGGAATGTTGACTCTTGGCATTTAAGAGATGGTTGTTGAAATGATGTAACATTTCTATATTAGTGGCAATAAAGGTTATTCAAGAAAAACTGTATCTTTAACGAAAATTTCAGTCCTACAAACAAGAGAATGATAGTTATGTTCTGTGTTGAAATAGATATATAGATGATATATATTTCACAGAACATCCCAATTAAGTTCCCAATTCTCCTTCCTCCTGTAAAAATACCCATGGAAATATCACAATAGGGTTGAACTAAACTCTTTTTTAAAGTACATCACTTATTTTTGTAGACAACACAGCTGCCAATCAGTCAGGCAGAGCCCACTATGGTTAATGTCACAAGTTGGAAAATTCACCATCGGTATACACAATGACAGCTTGAATTGTTAAATTCAGTGCTAGAACTCACATTGTGTTTTCATAATTAAGTCAAATCAAAGCTACCTAAGACAACCACAGACATTTCTGTCATCTAGCAGAAATGGATAGAGTTTACAGCCTGGGAAGTTGATACATTTTTTGGTACATATTTGACAGCCATCTTGTTTTTGCAAGACAAAAAAGCAGACAAAGAGAATTGCAAAGACAGCTCAGTTAAATAAAATCTACAAATAGGCTCACATTCTGGACTATTATATTTTCAGCTGTATAACTGTAATTACCAGCACACATTCGGCACTTACGAAGGAAACAGTGGAATAAGCTGATGAGAAGAATCTTAATAGAAATGCTCTCTTTCCTATGTTAGATGATGTAATTCTTTGGGAAAAACCAATTTCAATTAATTAAAATGAATTCAAACAAGCCTTATACACCATCCACAGAACCAAACGGTTATACACAGACCATTGAAAATAGTTATAAGCCTCTTACATAGTAAGATGCTCAGGAAATGTCTAATGTATCACAAATTAAAATCAGACAAGCTTTCTTTTAAAAATATATTTATAGGTCTGTCCTATATGTACAGACTTTTCCCAGCTGCCATCTGGATGTTAATTTCAAATGCCAGGAATGGAAAGTTCTTTCTCTGAAATCTCATGTCACCTTCAGCTACTTATTTATGAGAGACAGGGCCGGATTTTCCTATAGGCTAACTAGGCTTCATCCTAGGGCCTCAAGTTCAAGAGGGGCCTACATTCAAATTGTTAGTAAAATTAAAATTACANCCAAGGACTTACTCAAAAAACAAGGGCCGGGCGACCGTGTCCCCTTGCAGATGAGCCCGATGGAAGAGAGAGTAGAGCAAGGGCAGCAGGGTGTAACGGAGTTCTAGCGCTGCCTTCATGGCCGTCCGGGCTGCTGGGCTAAAGGCTGTGGGGTCTTGAGCCTGTTGAGAGGGGAAGGGGGAGCGTGAGGGAGGGTCGTGAGTGAGGGCTGTGGGGTCGAGTGGAAGAGCCAACAGTGCAGAAGGCATCAGCTAATCGCTTTCCGATGCTCTCAAAAAGGCGGGGGGGGGGGTTGCTGGGGGTTCGGAAAAAAGGTGGCATTAAGAAGGTTCTGACCAGTTCTGGAGAACCAGCTAGATGAAATTTTGAGTAGTTCAGAGAACCAGCAAATACCACCACTGGCTGGCCACGCCCCATCTATTCTCTGCCTCCTGAGTCTCAGCTGATCGGGAGGGAATGGGGATTTTGCAGTAACCTTCCCCTACCATGCCCACTCCCGCCACGCCCATAGAACCGGTAGTAAAAAAAATTTGAATCCCACTACTGGTTTGGGAGAACCCCTAGCTAAGATTCTGTGCAGTTCGGAGAACCCCCAATCCCAATGAGCCACCCCCCCAAACTCTACTGCCCCTCACCTTCTCAAGCTGAGTGTTGTGATTGCGGGAAAAGGGATAGAAGGCTCCCAGCTGCGTCCAGCGAACGCAGAGCTCTTCCGAGGTGGAGCTGGAGAAGCCGCAGATGTCGGCCCCGACCAATGGGACTCCGAAGAGGCTGAAGCTCAGCAGGCCTAAGGGAATCCGGACAGAGGCCAAATGAGGTCAACCTCTGGTCACAAGAGGTCACAGAGATCACTGAAGTGCTTGGGGAGGTCTGACCTTCATCCAGGATGAGATCTCCTAACTATGGAAGGATCTCCCAGGTATTTTGGAGAGCCATGTATTTATTGGTCAAAATCTTTCTCTATAAAAACAGCTGTGTGTGTGTGTGTTTGCATGCGTGTGTGTGTTCCAGCATAACTCTGGAACACCTTGAGCAATTTCAACCAAACTTGGTACCCAGATGGCTTACTCTCTGGGAAAAATACTGTGGGGATAAGACACCCCTAAGACCCCTTGGGGGGGTGGTATTCTGTTAAGATACAGCCTGTTGTGCCTTAAAATGGCTTCTACCGTACTGCCGTAAGATGGCATCTTCACAGTCCCTCACCAGAGGGCTCCCTCTGGTAAGGGGAAAAATCCAACATTAGAAATTAGGTTTGGTCTGGATATTTTCTCCCTATAAATAAATACCCAGGCAATGCTGGGTTATCAGTTAGATAAAGGGCTTTGAACTAGGTTTGGAAATAGTCGGAATGCCAGGAGCTCTGATATGTTATTGCTCTGCTGGCCAACTTTCTTGTAAGTTTCCTGTTTACAAGTTTCGGCACCCACTTCCGGCCCTGCGTGTAGGAGAGCTTTAGATTGACTTTGTAAAACGCACATCGATAATGGAGCGTTTAACAGTCTGCGTATGACAGGAGCAGCAGAAATTCAAAATGACCACCCGGAAGCAGGTGAGGGTGGGTGGGGGAGGGTACCTGGAATGGACCAAAACATATCCTTCCATTCGCTCCGGTTGTCTCCCAGCCAGTGTCCGGAATACCTGCCCTGGCTTGGGAAAGTAGAACGTGATATAACGAAGGGCCTCTTCCCCCGGAGTTCAACTAGAGCCCTGCCAGGAAAATAAAAATAAAAAAATAAACACGGTCAAGAATAATGGTCATATTTGCAAGGCTGACAAATCCTCAGCAGGGCAAAGGAAGGAGGAGGAGGAAGGAGGAGGAAGGAGAAGGAAAAGGAGGAGGAGGAAAAGAAGGAGGAGGAAGGAGAAGAAGAGGAGGAGGAAGAAGAGGAGGAAGAGAAGAGGAGAAAGGAGAAGCAGGAGGAGAAGGAGGAAGAAAAGGAGGAGGAGGGAGGGAGGAGGAGGAAGAAGAAAAGGAGGAGAAAGGAGGAAGGAGAAGAAGGAAAAGGAGGAGGAAGAAGAAGAGGAGGAGAAAGGAGGAGGAGGAAGAGAAGAGGAGGAAGGAGAAGAGGAGGAGAAAGGAGAAGCAGGAGGAGAAGGAGGAAGGAGAAGAAGGAAAGGGAGGATGAGGAGAAGGAGGAGGAAGGAGAAGAGGAGAAAGGAGGAGGAGGAAGAAGAGGAGGAGGAGGAAGAGAAGAGGAGGAGAAAGGAGAAGCAGGAGGAGAAGGTGGAAGAAAAGGAGAAGGAGGGAGGGAGGAGGAAGAAGAAGAAAAGGAGAAGGAGAGGAGGAGGAAGGAGAAGAAGAAAAAGGAGGAGAAAGAAGGAGGAGGAAGAGAAGAGGAGGAAGGAGAAGAGGAGAAAGGAGAAGCAGGAGGAGAAGGAAGAAGAAAAGGAGAAGGAGGGAGGGAAGAGGAGGAAGAAGAAAAGGAGAAGGAGAGGAGGAGGAAGGAGAAGAAGGAAAAGGAGGATGAGGAGAAGAAGGAGGAGGAAGGAGAAGAGGAGAAAGGAGGAGGAAGAGGAGAAGGAAGGAGAAGAGGAGGAGAAAGGAGAAGGAGGAGGAAGAAGAAAAAGATGAGGAAAAGGAGGAGGAGGAGAAGAGGAAGGAGGAGGAGAGGGGAGGAAGAAGAAAAAAAGAGGAGGAAGAGGAGAAGGCCCTGCAAACGTCCTATTGCTCTCACCTCCAAAGAAAGCCATTCCCGAAGGCAGGGGAGCCTGGCCTACCTTGAGGTGGCCTTGGCCTCCATCAGCCCGTAGAGGTTGTGGAGATTGTAATGCACGGAGACCCTCTGCTTGGCTGAAGCGCAAATAGTCTTTGCCGAAATGGAACCTCCCAGGATCCCTAAGTGGAGAGAAAGGCAGGTGAGGAGAAGAAAGACCCACCAGGGATGTCTTCTCCGCAAGCCGTGTCTGCTCAGGTGTTGCCCCTCCAAGTCCAGCCTGGGAGGTGCTGAGGCTCACCTTGCCCAGATATCCAGGCCTATCATGGACTTCTCTTTATGGGCGCCAGCAATGCTACGCCAAGGAGTAAGAACTGAGAAGGAGGTTCTAGAACCGAGATCAGGAGCTGTGACCTTCTTAGATGTTGCTGAGCTACAACTCCCAGCATCCTTCACCAAGTGGAACTTGGGTTTTTGCAAACTCCATAAAACTCAAGATTCCCATCCCAGCTGCACAATAAGGGCAGGATTTGGGAGCTTTGAAATAACCCTTAGGCTGGTGACTCCCATCTTCTGGAAGCAGTTTTGGAACCTTCCTGAAGAAGCTCCCTCGGTTCCACCACAAAACCGCGGTAGACTAAAGNGCTGCGTTCTGGACGAGTTGGAGTCTCCGAATACTCTTCAAGGGCTGCCCCATGTAGAGCGCATTGCGGGTGTTTCATCACCGAAGGATTTCAAGAAGAGACTGCACAGCCGCCGATCCGAAATGGTATAGGGCAGAGGTGGGTTCCTACCGGTTCGGTAGAACCGGTTCGTCAAATCTACCGAACCGGTTAGAAGAGGTTCCACCAGTGGACCCAGAAAGCAGGCCACGCCTACAGAAGAGATTCCAAAAAATTTTTGAAACCCACCACTGGTATAGGGTCTCCTGCTTGAGCAAGGGGCTGGACTAGAAGACCTCCAAGGTCCCTTCCAGCTCGAATTCTGATTCTGAAGTTAGAAGGTTGGGGAATTCTGGGAAATGAAGTCCACCCTCTTAATGTGGCCAAGGTTGAGAAAAACACCATTCTAAGCTGTTGTGGGAAATATCTCTGGGCTGAAAAGTCATCGTTATTGACATAAGAAATGGCGCTGAAACCTGAGGTAAGACAGAAAGGAGAGATCTTACGACTCTCTTTTGGGTCCAAGCTACGGGATCCTACGGAGGGAGATGGGATCAGGTTGCTCGCGTATAACCTTGCCTAGAGAACCCTGGGCTCTCAGAGGTTTATCCCAAATCAGCGGGGGGCAGCGAAAGGATGAGTTAGGGCATCTTCTGGTCTCACCTGAGTTGGCAGGATGGTGCCCTCTCGCACATGGACGTTGATGTGATCCAGAGGGGCCGCCATCTTCAAGCTCTCCCCGCTGCTGTTCACCGAAGAACCCTGAAGAGGGCGAGGAGAAGACCCCAGGTGGGTGAAAAGCTTTTGGAGGGCGAAGGTCCCCCCGGGGTTTTCAAAAACGGGACTCTCCTGGACTCCGGAGAGGTGGGACCATGACAGGAGCTCAAGGGCCCCGGCTCTTACCGTGTAGTAGTCGTACCAAACGCCTTTGGGGAAGTAACCGATCACTGAATCTGCGCCGGGTTCCAGAACAGGCGTCACCAGCAGGACTCTGCCCCAAAGGAACTGCTTCTCCACGGCGTAGGTGGCCTCATCCTTTGGGAACCTACCAGAAGGGATAATCGCCATCGCAATTACCATCTGTGTCCCGTTAAGAAGACCCACAACCACCCAGGGATCCTTGAAGGGACCTTCCCTTTGTAAGCCTAGGGTCAAGGTTCCGACTGACGAACCCAACCCTAGTAAGCATCATCAAGACGATCCAATCTCTTCGTGCAAAGCTTTATAAAAATTTTGAATTTTTTTAAATTCCATATCAATATACTTAACATATCTTAGTTTTAAAGGAAAAATAAGAGAGGACAGTATACATGTGCAATCATATTACTTTAAAATCTAACACCCATCGTCAAGGCTAATATGCATCCCTCCCTCCCACCCTCCCCCCAAT